TTTTTTTTTTAAGGAAGGAACTATAAATTCAAATATACAAACAAAAGGATGGAAAAATGAATTAAATATCTGATAATTTATGTTCCAGATATATTATGTGCCAATAAGAAATTATAGGAAAGGTAGAACAGCTATGTGAATATCAAACAGAATAGACTATATAGAACAAAAAAATGTTACTTGAGATAAAAAAGGTACATTGTAATTATAAAAGGGTCAACTAAGAAGAAAGATACAAGTATAAGCATATATATACCCGACAATAAAGCAGCCAAATTCACAAACAGACATGTAGTAACAGTAGCACCCACTTCCATATGATAGAACTAGTCGATGAGCAACAAGGAATGTCCTGGATCTCACTCTGCAGACGAGACTGGCTTCAAACTCAAACTCAGGGACCCACCTGCCTCTGCCCCCTGAGTGCTGAGATTAAAGGCAGGCGCCACCATGCCCAGCTACCTCAATAAACTTTTAGAAGACAGAAATAATACAAAACATGCTTTGCCACGAAAATAAAATGAAATTAGAAATTAAAAGCAGGCACAAATTGATCAACTCACAAATACAGATATTCAAACTAGATCTGTTGGTCTTTTTTCTTCAAGATCCTTCCTGATTTTATGTATGTGTGTACGTACTGAGTGTTTATTTTGTCTTCCTCTCCTACACCTAGAAAGCTCTTTGGAGGCAGTAACTATGTCGATTTTGATCGCAAGTATAACATCTGGCAGAAAGCAGGAATTAAACATGTGCTGGGGTGTGAATGACTGACAGTTAATGAATAATTTCTGTGAGAATGAAGATTCATTCATGAATTTGTCTATTCTACAAATAAGTATTGAACATTTATGTGGGGGATCTTGGGGGTTTGACAACTAAGACAGAAGTCATGCTTTGTGAGGCTTCCTTTCTAGAGGGTCTGGTGGATAATAAAACACAGGGACTATCCATCAAGACTTAGTCTGTTTTCCTCTGCTCTACCAGAATACGTAAGATTGGGTACTTTACAAAGACCGAAGGTTTATTCGGGCTCACAGTTCTGAGCATTAGGAAGTTCAAAGCACACTGCATCTGAGCAGATGACAGCCAGAGTCTTGAACTTGGTAGGTCTTGGCAGGGCAGAAGGGAAGAGGGGCAAGAGGGCTTAAGGAAGAGGCAAAGCACAAGGGATGGCCTTGCTTTATAGTGACTATCTTGTGAGATTGATTTCTCTCCCTTGAGGCATTAATCTCTTTTAATTACCTAATCACCCTTAAAGAATCCAACTCCTAATACTGGTTAATCAATATCAAAATAAATTTTTTTTTTGTTTGCTTTGCTTTTTTTTGAGACAGGGTTTCTCTGTGTAACTTCCCTGGCTGGCCTCGAACTCACAGAGATCCACCAGCCTCTGCCTCCTGAGTGCTGGGATTAATGACATGTATTACCACTGGCTCAATACAAGTTTTTGAGGGGACAGATAATATTCGAACTACAGCAACAGAGAACTGATTGCTCCCTAGAGGTGGAAGGTGTTCCTTTGCTGAAGACACCATGCACTTCAGACATAGTGCCCAAAGGAGCTGAGCTGGATCTGACCTGAAAGCCTCCTCCCTGAGGAGTAGCTTTCATGGTATCAGAAAGCACCATGCAAGCTTCCATGAGAGAGAAGCAAATCGTCTTGCCCAGCTTCAATATCTATGAAACACAACAACCAGCCAGGCACAATAACCCTAAGGGGGTAATAGTGGCATGCACACCTTGGTAGCAACCAACGGCTGGTAACTCTCTGCCTTCTTTCTCTTTACTCTGAGCTCTGAAATCTGACAATTCTCACCCCTCATCAAAGAAACCTCTTTTTGCAACAGACAAAACCATTACAGAAAATTACAATCGATCCAAAGGCAGAGAAGGAGAGATGGTGTGGTGTCCAGTCCCAACTGATACACCAATAACAACTCCTGCACCTTAGGTTCAGGGATCACTGCTGAAGGGACAGAAGGATTGTAAGAGCAAGAGGAACAGGAACTCTGTTGTGAGATTGCGTCTCCTAGAAGTGCCAGAAAGGCTACACCCATGAGGTTTCCTCAACATGGCTGCCTGGATAAGACCCGAACAAGGGCACCGATGGAAATGCTAACACAGAAGGGGGGGAAATGGTTCTCCTCAGGAAAGAGCCCCCCAATTGGTCATTTAAAACCAAGTGGTCAGCTCTGAGGTCATAAATATGCAAGTAACATTATATGGACTGAGCAGGTTGTATTTATTCATATATGTGTGTGTGTCTACATATATATACACACACATATGTACATATGTAACAACAATAAAAGAAACAGAAGCCATGAATTTAAGAGAAAGCAAGGGAGGTATGAGGGAGGGGTTAGAAGGAGGAAAAGGATGCAGGGGTGATGAAATTATAATTTCAAAAACCATAAAAATTATTAGAGCCGGGCAGTGGTGGTGCATACCTTTACTCCCAGCACTCGAGAGGCAGAGGCAGAGGCGGGCGGATCTCTGAGTTCAAGGCCAGCCTGGTCTACAGAGCAAGTTCCAGGACAGTCAGGGATGTTACACAGAGAAACCCTGTCTCGAAAAACAAAAAAAAAAAAAAACAACAAAAACTTACTAGAAAAAACAAAACAAAACAAAAAAAACAAAAACAAAAAACCCAAAAAAACAACCAAGGCTCTTACAGAGTCGTTGACGAATGCCTCTCCAGATAACCTCTTAGTCCATGAACAAATGGAGAGAGTGAGCCATGAAACATTAGTGAAAAGAATACTTTGAGTAACAACAATGGCAGATGCATAGGTTTCAAGTCCAGAACATCAACGGGAGGCCCCAGGACTGGATGGGGACTGGATGTCGGGATAAGATCAGAGTGTGTATGAAGAGAAACCAGTACCTCAATTAGGAAACTAGTATACTTGTTCAGGTTAGAGAAAAACAAAACAAAACAAAACAAAAACACTCCCCCCCCATGGCTTAAAAATTGGGGGGCGGAGACATAAGTTGTTTACACTGAAACTCCACTGGCTGTAGACAGGAGGGGCGGGATGATGCAAAAGTATACGAGGCAGGGAGACTTTGTAGCAGGTTAGGATGCTAACTCCTAAGAAGTAAGTGTTGTTTCTCGTTCGGGCTAATATATACAAATCAGGGCAATCTGGCCTTGGTGGAATGCTGTGTGTGTGTGTGTGTGTGTGTGTGTGTGTGTGTGTGTGTGTGTGTGTGTGTGTGTGTGTGTGTGTGTGTGTGTGTGTGTGTGTGTGTGTATAAGACAATCTTCTTGATAACTGATTAGTTTAGCTCCCCTACTACATCCTCTCACCTTAGCTGTGGTACCTGACTTCAGGTTGACTTAGGTTAGTGACAGTGATTAGCTGGAGTGTAAAAGTTAGATAAAAGTAGTGGTTTGGGATTTGAACCCAAGATTGGTTAGTTTTTTATATTAACAGCACCTTCACTGGTGAGTTGTTCATTAGCTAGCTCTGAAAGGACAGTTTCTCCATGGTGGGTAGGACCCCCGCCCCAATGCCCAAACACCATAAATACAGAAACAAAACACAAATGATGCCCTCTTTCAATTTAAAATTTAGAACTCGCTGGGCAGTGGTGGCGCACGCCTTTAGTCCCAGCACTCCGGAGGCAGAGGCAGATGGATCTTTGAGTTCCAGGCCCACACATGGTCTACAGAATGAGTTCTAGGACAGCTAGGGCTACAAAGAGAAACATTGTTGGGAGGGGAGTGGTGTTTTAAAATTCAAGCCTTTTAATTTCCCTCTAATTCCAGATCCCCCCTTGGTAAGAACATCATAAGTCCAAGTTACAAGTTTTCTAAGACAGCAGTAGATTCACATACACTCACAATAATAATAATAATAATAATAATAATAATGGCGTTAAATGCTTAACAGGTGAGTAAAGGAATGACATAAATTGAATTCTCTAGTGCTGTACATCAATAATGGCATATCTTTTGTTTTTAATTTAGGAAGAAAGGAAAACATACACACATCAAACATCTCATCACTCAAACCACCCAGTTCGGGTTAATTCATACACTAAGAAAGGGTCCGAAATAGGCAAAAGGATTCCGTACCGATTTAAAACAAGTTGCCTCACACCAACACACAAAAGGTTACATTTCCAACTTGCCCTGTGATTTCTTGCACACAAAAACCTGAACCAAGATTGAATGGTTATAGTGGCATCCAATACGACTGACTACATTAACAGATGTTTCCTATAGAATACAAACCAGCTTGCATAATCCACTACCTATCGGGTCTGGCAAGCTTTCATCTTTCTTTACCATAGACACCGAATCTAAGTTTGGCTCTAAAAGGATCCTTTGTTTCACCCCCGAGTTTGGCTCCCACGTTACAGCATCCCCAAGCTGGGGTGATGGAAACCGAACCCACTCCACTCGCCTCCCAGGCAAAGCTCTCTGATTACTATGCATCGCCGAGCTCCATTCCGACCCGGGGCCATGCAAGCTTCCTTTCTTCAACCTACATCTTCTCCAACCCTTTCCCCCCCAATCGTCCCTCGGGTCGCCACGGAGCCACAGACAGGAAATGGGGCTGGAGCCCCTCCAATCCAACCCTGTTCGGAGCCTCGTGCGTGGACAACCTCGGCTGCAGGTCCCCCCCTGGGGTCTGCAGGTCCCGGGGGGTGTCTCGGGGATCCTGCAGGTCCTGGGTTCACTGGCCGGGGGGCTGACAGGCAGGGACACACTGGGGCAGGATGGTCCTGGGCTGTGATCACTGGAGAGGGGAGGCGGGGAGGCGAGCCTGGCCACCCCGACCCCAGCACGGCCCCGCACGGCCCCGCACACGCCACGTCAGGCCGTACCTGGCTTGCAGCGTCGCCGGCCGCGGCACTCAGGAGGCGGCACCCAGGGTCGGGGTCCGATCCGAGCTGGGCTCGGCCTCCCTCTCGGACCTCACCCGCAGCCGCCGCCCCGCCCAAGCGTCTTCCGATTGGTTCCTGGCGTGTTCGCTTCCGGGGGGAGAGGTCGCCCGGTCGCCCCAGCAACCGAGCCCCGCTCCGTCCTAGCGCCCAGCTCCCTTGCAAGGCCGCAGAGCTGGCGAGCCAGGGGGAATCGCAGAGTCGCGACAGTCTGTCCAACCCGTCTCCGTCAAGTGAGTGCGGCTTCCTCCCAGGACGCGGCGGGAAGGGCGCCTTTCCCTGGAGCGGATGGACCCGGAGCCCCTGGGGTGGAGGGGCTCGACGGCACCCCCCGGCCTCCGGGAGTCCGAGAGATGGCGTGGGCCTCCCGAGTCTGTCGTTGGTTCGCTGTCTCTCCGGATTTGTTTCCTTTACGGTGCCCGATCTGTAGCAATCACAGAGGTTCCTGCTAGCTCACCTCATCCAGGGTCTTGAATGTGGAAACGTCATCCCTGTAATTTAGAGAATATTTTATTAGTTTCTGCCATCCAGCGCGCATAGATAAAGCCTTACATATTTACTACACTGAAGTTACCCCTGTACAAGTGGAGAAGAAATTGAGCTCAATGTTTCTAGACTAATATGGCTGCTGATTTCTGCTCATTGCCCACGCAACACGGTAAAAACGGGGTACTTTTCCCCTCCCCCAAAGTTGGTAGCACAGCTAAAGTTTTCAGAAATTCAAATTATACCTGTATATAGCTTTATATAAATCTATTTATAAATTATATATATAAAGACCAATAATAGCAGAATGTTATGCATCGATAATAACAACAGCTTTTCCAGTCCCCGCAGCCATCTGAACAAAATTGCAGACGTCCAGCATCACCTTAAAAACAGAACAAAACAAACAAAACACCACCAAACAACCAGAAAACAGATTTGTGACGGTGAGGGTACCGGCACCCTATTTTTATTCTTTTATTAGCTTCTCAATCATCATCTGGAGAGAAAACATTCTAAGTAAGATCATCAAAACCACCTTGGACAAAGCTACAGTTGCATATCATAAAGAAGGAATAAGGTATTTCACATTCACAAAGTGTGACACCTTGGCACTAGAGGACATAAAAGGCGTGGGAGACTTGATTCCGCTTTTCCAGCAGAGGGCCCAAAAGCAATGTGCTCTCTTAGATGGGATTCCCTTTCAGTGGTGGCCTGGTACAAAGCATTGCTTCCTCGCGAATATCAGCCAAAAACCATCATTAAAAGCAAACAAACAAACAAAAAAGGAAAATTTCCCCCAAAATAAAACCGCACAAGACGAGGAAATTTGAAGAGCGGCTGAGGACTGCTTGTCCAGTTTCCCGTGGGACCAATTGTGTTTAATAGTGTCCTTCTTAATAGGTGCTTGGTGGTTGTGTCTCAAAGGCCATGCATCCCCTCAATAGGCATTTTCTGTTAGTACTCGATACGGAGCGAGGTGGCGGGATGAGAAAAGAGATTTAACTGATCCGTGATCACTGTTTTAGTTGAGATGAGTGTGATAGGGTCCAGGCACAAAGGCGTTGTTTTAGTAGGACCCCGAGTTCTGAGACTAGAGGGGTTTAGGGGTGAAAAGAAAGAAGAAAAACTTTGGGGAGAGGCCTTATCTGAGCCAGGGCTACAGAATAACAATAGACAGTGTCTCCAGAACTAGACACGAGCCTTCATGGCTTGTATAGGTTCATCCATTTAGTTAACGTCAGGATGACGAAACTGAGCCATTTGCCTTAGGCCAGAGAAAATGATGACGTCTAGGTAGCCTGAGGCCAGAGCGTGGAATACTGTATTCTGTTTCCAGCTCCAGAATGAGAGGTAGTTTCTCAGCCAAAGAAGACAGGCGTGTTTCAGGGAGAATACAGCCTGAGTCCCATGGGCGCCGCAAGCAGATTTGGTAATCTGATAAGCATTGTGAAACACTTATAAAGCAGTTTTGTGTCTCTGTCCCTTCACAACCTCATATTTTGAAAGTATCTCTGTTTCCAATTGGGAGCTGGGCTTACCCAAGGCTCTCCCCGAGGCCCTGATGTATACAGACAGAGCACAGCTCTTCTAAAACCAGGAATATGCTTGGAAGAGCCTGTAATCGCCTGGGGTCAGGGCCTCGGGGGAGCTGTGGCTTTGGAGCAAGAACCCAGCTCTTTCCATCCTAAGGGGCTATGGTTATCAGTCCCAAGGCCATGTTCCTAACAATACAAAAATAATAGTATTTGGGGCTGGAGAGATGGCTCAGTAGTTAAGAGCGCTTGTTGCTCTTGCAGAGGACCTGGGTTCAATTCCCAGCACCTACATGGTGGCTCACAACCATCTGTAACTCCAGTTCCAGGAGATTTTATGCCCTTTTCTGAGTTTTGAGGAACCAGGCATGCATGTGGCGCATGCTGTGGATATCACTCTATATAAATAAAACACTGATGGCCAGTGACCAGGCAGGAAGTATAGGCGGGACAAAGAGAGAGGAGAATTGAGGAAACAGGAAGAAGGGGGAGAGACACTGCAGCCACTGCCAGGAGAAGCAGCATGTAAAGACGCCGGTAAGCCACCAGCCACGTGGCAAGGTATAGATTTATAAAAATGGGTTAATTTAAGATATAGGAACAGTTAGCAAGAAGCCTGCCACAGCCATACAGTTTATAAATATTATAAGCGTCTGAGTGATTTATTTTATACGTGGATTGTGGGACTGCGGGGTTTGGTGGAACCTGGAGAAAAGCCCTCCAGCAACAGGCGCATATACATGCATGCAAACAATATACCCATACACATGAAAAAAAATAAATCTTTAAGCTGGGCTGTGGTGGCGCACACCTTTAATCCCAGCACTTGGGAGGCAGAAGCACTTATGAGTTTGAGGCCAGCCTGGTCTACTAAGCGAGTTCTAGGACAGGCTCCAAAGCTACACAGAGAAACCCTATCTCGGAAAAAAATAAATAAAAGAAAATAAATCTTTAAAAATAATGGCTGGCTGGGCAGTGGTGGCACTTGCAAGGCAGAAGCAGGCAGATCTCTGTGATCTCAGCCTGGTCTACAGAGAGAGTTCTAGGACAGTCAAGGCTGTTTGTTACATAGAGAAACCCTGTCTTGAAAAAGAAAGAAAGAAAGAAACAAACAATGTCTGTACTGCTTTTGCAGAGGATGTGGGTTCAATTCCCAGCACCCACATGGCGACTTCACAACCATCTGTAATCCCAGTTCTAGGAGATCTTTTGCTCTCTTCTGACTTCTGGGGGTGCCCGGCGTAGATGTGATACACACACATACATTCTGGCAAAACAACCATACACACAAAACAAAACAAATTTTTTCTTTTTCTTTTTTCAAGACAGGGTCTACTTAATGAGTTCCAAGCCAGTTAGGGCTACATTAGGGAGATCCTGTCCCCACCAAAAAGTGAATGTTATACTAATAAAATTTTAAGAAGTAAATAAAAATAGATCATCTAGGCGAAATTACTTATTTTCTCCGGACCCTACACCAGACAATGGAAATGCCAGTCAGGAGGTGTTTGCACCTCTGTGAAGAGAATTTACCTGAATAGTGCTGAAAACACATTTATTGTAGGTTTTGTGACATTAAAATATTCAGACTTACCTTTATTTTCTTCACTCTCTTAAAGCATCTTCAGAAGTGTATAAGATAAAGTTTATATTTCCAAATGGCGACAAGTACGGTAAGCATGCATTTTAATTACCTCTCCATACAGAAAATTCAATAGTTTAGAGTTTTAAAAACAAGACTAACTCATTTTATAAAACCGTTATTGGCATATTATCTCACTCAAACGAAATAACAGACAACCTAATAGATGCATAGACCTTTCAATCAAAGCCATTACATCTAGACAGGATGTCTTAGAGACCCGAGGACTCTGTCTTCCATTCCGGTCCTTAGTTAGTCCCAGGGAGCCGGAAAACAAAAGACTAAGCAACACCCACACACGGGGTGGGGGGCGGTTGTGAATAGGCTTCTACATAACTGTTCCGTCGACCTAGTCCACACTGCCCGTGTCAAAGCTCCAGGCCCCCTTCCTCACTAGATGGTGACTGTACCAGAACAGCTTCTGGGATCTATGAGAGGAACGGGACGGGCATCCACACCACTCCTAACGGAATTGTCTACACGGGAAGCTGGAAAGATGACAAGGTATTGTTATCGTCGTTCATTCTGCTAGTGGATAAATAATCCTGTGGGTCAAATGAGTAAGCATGTCAGTATTAGTCAAAACTACACTTACTAAGGCTAGTTTAGCAACTCACAGCTGTAATGGTGTTACGTAGGAGGCCAAGGTGTGAGGATCTCGGGTTCCTGGGCTATGTAGCAAGACCTGTGTTTAAACTAGCCTCTATAATGAAGATAAATGGTTTTACTTAGCATCTGTTTTCTATACATAATATTAAACTCATGATGAGAGCTAATATTATTAATATTTTTCTCAGTTCCCATTAAAGCCAAACACATTAATTTTTTCCCATTTAATCTTGATGACCTCATGAGATGGATCCCATTAATACTCTTTTTTTAGAGATGAGACAAATTAGACTCGGGTTTCTTATACAGATGGGAAATGATAAAGTAGGAATGTGTACCCAGCTCTACTTGAATTCACATTTAAAAAATCATTACATCTATTTATCTACGTGTGAGTGCCGGGGTATGTGAGAGGGCTCTCTCTGTCCACCATGCGAGGGCCTGGGATCAATTTGGGTTGTCAGGCTTGAGCACCCACATTAACTCACTGAGCCTTCTCGTCAGCCTCATGCCCAACTTCCCACTCTAAACTCAGGTCCCCATGTTATGTGATAGGCACCTCTTCCAGTGAGCCATCACTCTACCCCAAATTCACATTATTATTATTATTATTATTATTATTATTATTATTATTATTATTATTTTCTGAGACAGGGTTTCTTTTTGTGTAGTCTTGGCTTTCCTGGAACTCGCTCTGTAGACCAGGCTGGCCTCGAACTCACAGAGATCCGCTTACCTCTGCTTCTCTAGTGCTGGGATTAAAGGCGTGCATCACCACCACCACCACCACCACCACCACCACCACCACCACCACCACCACCCAGCCAAATTCACATTCTTAACCACTGCTGTGTACTGTTTTCTGAATTGACGACATCAGGTGCTCTTTAAGACTTCTGATGTACTTAGGTATCTTGAGGATCCTGTTTATCATCACCTTGGTCCCCCATATGTTCAGATATCCCAGACCCAGAACATTTGAGTTAGTAGGCTTCACAGAAAGACACAGGGGAAGAAAATGGTAAAAAGGTCTACTTTTGTAGAAACAAGGGGTGATAAAAAGATGACGAAGATAATGTTACTGATAGGCTTGTGTGTATAGTGAAGGCTGGTTCCTGAGCATTTCCTTTCTTACACACAGATGAATGGATTTGGAAGACTTGAGCATTTTTCAGGAGCCGTGTATGAAGGACAATTTAAGAACAATATGTTTCATGGACTGGGGACTTACACATTCCCAACTGGGGCAAAGTACACTGGAAATTTCAATGAAAATAGGTAACCTTAAATTTTAAGAACAATTATAATTCTAAAAGATTCTCTTTAGTTGTGCTTGTTAAATAGTGTATTTAATTAATGCTAATTAATCTTTTTTCTTTGTTTTTTTTCCGAGACAGGGTTTCTCTGTGTAGTTTTGGTGCCTGTCCTGCATCTCACTCTGTAGACCAGGCTGGCCTCAAACTCACAGAGATCTGCCTGCTTCTGCCTCCCAAGTGCTGGGATTAAGGGCATGCGCTGCCACCGCCCGGCACTAAATAATCTTTGTGGCGTATTTGATCTCCACAAAAGGCTGAGTTATTTTAGTGGTTGGGGAAGGTAAGAGGGAGGCTGTGACCATGTAACCTTCCAAAACGGAACATCATTTTTGTAAAGATTATTAGCCACCCCTTGCCCACCCCACCACCCCTGCCAGACAGGGTTTCTCTGTGTAGCCCTGGCTGTCCCAGAACTCACTCTGTGGACCAGGCTGGCCTCAAACTCACAGACATTTTCCTGCCTATGCCTCCCGAGTGCTGGGATTAAAGGCATGAGTCACTGCCATCCAGTTTTGATTATTAGACTTTTTAACGCAGCCTCTGTGGTCTCTGTTAGTGCAGAGCGAGTGGACAATGTGTGATTCTTGAGCCAACTTAGCCCAAGAATAATTTTCACTTAAAGTATCTCAATTTGCATTTGTAAAAAAGCAGGCCTGTGGTTAATTTCATGATGATTTATTTCATTCTAACCTGATGTGTGTGAGCATTTTTATTATGCTCATTTAAATTGTAAGAAAAATCAGATAATGTTAAAACTAGAAATGCACCTACTCTCGTCATTTCTGAGCATATGATTGCAGGGGAAAAAGTGAAATAAATCAGGAGTGTAGCTTTATAAGCATAATCTCACCTAATACCATGCCACCAGAAAGTTCATTATTGGGTGGGGATGGAGCCTAGTGATAGAGTGCTTGTCCAGCGCGTATGAAGCTTTGGGTTCAAACCGTAGCACCCCATAAAATCAGGCATAGCACCCCATAAAATCAGGCATAGCAGCCCATGCCGGTAAGCCTAGCACCCGAGGGTGGAAACTCCAAAGTTCAGTGAGGCCAACCTGGGCTACATGAGACCCTGTCTCAAAAGAAAATAAAGTTCATTTATAAATATCCCTTTCATATATCTAGAAATGGAAATGCTACCTAGTCGTTATGAAGTCAGTGTGCATCCATTTCTAAAAGGACAGAATGGTATTCACCTCTTTTGACTCCAGGTTTATAACAAGGACATAAACTGCTTCCATTGATATTAATAAAGGGAGAAAAAGCCAGTGTGTGGGATAAAGCCTGTTTGCATATATAGGTGTGTTTTCACCACTCCAGTGGGGCCAAAAGAACGCCACCCATGTACAGCACTTCAAACAGAGCTGACGACGCAGAAATTTTGTTTAGGCCAGGAAGCAGTGGTGGCACACGCCTTTAATCCCAGCACTCGGGAGGCAGAAGCAGGAGGATCTTTGTGAGTTCGAGGCCAGGCTGGGCTGCAGAGTGAGTTCCAGGAAAGGTGCAAAGCTACACAGAGAAACCCTTGTCTCAAAAAAACAAAAACAAAACCAAAACAAAACAAAACAACAACAAAAAAAGAAATATTTGTTAGATAAATGAATATTTGGGTTATTGAGCCAAATAACCAATTCACAGTTTTCAAGTTTGAGTCGACTGTTTGGTTTTGTGTAAAGTTAGTTTATCTGACCCTGAAACCATGAGCACCAAAGTGTGCACACAGACAGTGTTTGTTTGAAGTAGTGTGTTTTCCTAGTGTATGGACACAGGGTGCTGGTTCTTGATAGAAATCGGAAGCAGAGAGGTAAAGTGCCTTAACAGGTGTGTAGTATGGGAGGCCAGATAGCGTGCGTCTGGACTGTATATGTCCCGTCCTAATTAATGAGCGAGCTCACTTGTCCCTTCTGCAGGGTGGAAGGTGAGGGGGAGTACACTGATATCCAGGGCCTGCAGTGGAGCGGCAACTTCCACTTCACGGCGGCCCCCGGCCTCAGACTAAAGCTCTACATGTAGACCTGCTGCCTAA